TCAAATTAACTACTAATATAATAATAATTAGGGAAAATTATGTAAACAGTCCGTATATTTTACACGATGTGTCAATTTGGTCCCTTTAGTTTCAATTTGCTCGATTTTGCCCCTTAATTTAATGGATTGTGTCATTTTAGTCCAATAAATAACGGTTGTTAAGTTAATTTAACGAAAGTCAAACAATTTGCTAATTTGGTCCCTGTATTTTCCACAATGTGTCAATTTAGTCCCTGTCAAAACCGAGAAAATTGAAACTACAGGGACCAAATTGACACATCGTGTAAAGTACAAGGACCAAATTGACACATTATTTGACTTTCTGTTAAATTAATTTAACAACCGTTATTTATTGGATTAAAATGATACAATCCGTTAAATTAAGGGACAAAATCGAGCAAATTGAAACTACAAGAATCAAATTGACACATCGTATAATGTACAAAGACTATTTATATAATTTATCCTAATAATTAAAAAGTCAACACAGTCACCAAGCTCAACTACGTAGCCCAAACTTAAGAATAAAATAAACAATTATAAACAACCCTCACAATGAGACAAAAATAAACACCACAAAGAATTCAAATCCTTCTCTATTGTATATTATTTGTTTTACCACCATTTCATATCATTAAGAAATGAAAAAAACATTATTTAGTTTCATGAATAATTATTTATGAACAGAAATCAATTATGAATATCCACTTAAATAGTTATTCCAAACGATCAAGAAAATGGGTGACATATAGCAATATTTGCCTTTAAATAATAGAGCAATGATTGAATTGGTTTAGGGCATTTTGGTTTAAATTAAACAAATGAAGGTGGGTAGATTGGTTCATGATTTTCCAAAGGATAAGAATTTTTAAATAATTGTAAGGACAACAAAAGGTCCCACAAAAAATAATTTGGGGAAGACTTGGTAGAACATAGAGTCAAGAACTTTCGTCAAGACACATACAAGCTTCCAGGAAAAACCATGTAAATTAAGATAGCATTTCTCTCATCGTTTTCTTACTTGGTACTTCATTTACATATAGTGACATCTATAAATATCCATGGTGCCTAAACAGATATATAATTCATATCTTGGCTCTTCTGTCCTTAATTGGTCTTTCTTTGAGCTTTAATCCAATGGCAATTGTCAGATCCCAAGAAACCTCCTCCCCCAATTCTCATTGTAGTTATGATGTGTTCTTGAGCTTTAGAGGTGAAGATACTCGCAAGACATTCACTGACCACCTCTACACAGCTTTAGTGCACGCTGGATTTCGTACTTTCAGAGATGACGATGGGATTGAAAGAGGGGAGAATATTAAGTTCGAATTGAACAAAGCAATTCAAGAGTCGAAGATTTCAATAGTTGTCTTCTCGAAGGACTATGCATCTTCAAGTTGGTGTCTCGATGAACTTGTCATGATCCTCGAACGCAGGAGGACCGTTGGACATGTAGTTCTACCTGTTTTCTATCATGTGGATCCATCTCATGTGAGGAAGCAAAAGAAAAGTTTCAAAGAAGCATTTACGAGGCATGAAGAGAGATTTCACGCAGAAGCGAGTGAAAGAAAAGTTGAATGGATGGGCAAAGTGAAAGAATGGAAGGCAGCACTTAGAGAAGCTGCAGATTTGGCAGGGATGAACTTACAAAATCAAACTGACGGGTAATTTCCTCCCAAGTCCTTTTCTTAGCTAAGCATTACTTATATCACCATTTTTTGGATTTCGTAGATTAAAGTATTTCATACTAGGGCCTTTTGAATGAAGAATTATCTGTTCAAATTTTGGAATGAATTGTTTTGTTAATTATGACAGATTTACATAGTTTAGTTTTTGTAAGATAACCTTCAAACACAAAAGCATCCTACAAGTCAGTTTCCCAAACAAACAACTTGAATTTATTAACTCATGATTTTTTTAAGATGCTCCTTCTTTTCAAGTTATATGAAAAGATCACATGTAGCTATTCATTTCTTTTCGTAGACATTTTATTGAAACAATTGTGCTACGTAGCTCGAAAGAGAGATTCCCTGAATCCCCCGAATTCAAAACGACGTTGTTTCATCGTTTTGATTTTTTTTTTTTTTTCAATAACTGGAAGAAGAAAAATCAGAAAAGAAGAAGAACAAAGAAGAAGAAGAAGAAGAAGAAGAGAGAGACAGAGAGATCATCAACCACCCATCATCATCATCATCAACCACCCAACACATCATCATCATCATCATCATCATCACATCATCACAGATCGGAGGCAGAGATCAGAGATCGAAGGCCAGGCTGCGACGATCGGAGGCAAAGGCAGAGGCGGAGGCGGCGGTGATCGACTCTCTCTCTCTCTCTCTCTATTCCCTCTTCCCCTCTCTTCTCTTTCTCTCTTTCTCTTCCTCTTCCTCTTCCTCTTCTTCACTCTTCTATCTGTTTCAGACATAAGGGGGGAAAAAAAACTGCCCAAAATGATGTCGTTTTGGGCAGTCGGGGGATTCGGGGAAGAGAGATTTGAGCTACGAATGATTATTCTTCTTGAAATTTGGCCCATTATTTAAAAGTTTCAACAACTTGGCTTACTAATCAAAAATTGAAAAACAGAACAGTTTATATTAGATAAAAGAGTATTGTTTCAAAACCATGATAGTGAAAACCGTTTCTTTTCATCTAAGACTCTTCCAATTGTTTCAACAAAGACAGTAACATGGTCTTTTGGTTCAGTATTGCATGAGAATTAGCAGTTAATTTCAATTGATGGCATTCTTATTGTTCTTTATTTTCCATCTTAATCTGATAATTAGACTTGAGTCAAAGTTTATCCAGAAAATTGTGAAAGTGGTTGGAGACAAACTAAGTCGCACAACCTTGGCTATTGCCCCCCACCTGATTGGAATATATTCTCGAGCCAAAAACATTTCTGGATCAGAATGAAATTGCTCCTTTCAACCAACATAAAACACAAAGTTTTATAAATTCTTTTTCAAACCCTATCTCACAAAATAAATCATAACCCCCAGCAACGTCTTCCCAAATTTCACTTTTTTCTCAAAAAGAAAACAACCTCAAAAACAAATCACACTTTCTTATTTTGTTTCTTTAAACTTCATAACTTTCTACTTTTTTCACAAAAAATTACTTTTAAATTTTCCTGTTTTTGAAAAAAACATACTTTTTTTACTCTCATCCCTTTTTCTTCCCCCCAAAAAATATTCCTCTCGTTATTCTTGTTAAGTAACCCTCCGCCCCCCAACATACCCCTTTATATGCATTTGATATGATTATGAGGCCCCCCAAATCACAATTTCTTAAATTAACAAAAAAAATAAAAAATATTTAATAAACCTCATCCCCAAATAAAAAATATTTAATAAAATAAATAAAACATACTTCTCATAAAAAAACTACCAAACCTATAACTTATTCTAGAATAAAACTAAAATTTTTAAATATTCTCAAATATCTTAAACAATGATATTTAAAATTCTTTCTCTAAAAGAATTTTGTCTAAATATCTTTTTAACAATTTAAAAAAATAAAAACATATTTCCCGTTCAACATACAAATAATAAATACCAACTAATTCCTTTTATAACAACAATCCTAAAACTTCAAAACAATTAAATGCACAATCTCATTTCATTTTCTTTTTTTTCAAAACTATAAACAAACTAAGTTTGGAACAATTACAACTCACAAATGGCGTTCTCCAAACCTCTTTCAAAATCCTTCCATCCCCCCCACAATAAAACTTTTTCTTAAAACTCATTTTCAAATTTATTCTCTCTCAAAATACACAAGTTGAAATTCAAATTCAATTTAAAAAACTCAAACAAAGCATTTGTCTTCAAAAACTACAATGACATCTACGCAGACGCCACAACATGACTAAAAATCACACAAATAAACATTATACATCTATACTAATCGACACTACATCTTTCTCCCGGACCATGCTACTAAACGATAATTTACCACCATGCATAGAATCTGATTTAGATTTCAAATAGGAATTCAGCCCGGTGAGCCTATGGACCCTACAATACTAGCAAATTTCACCTCAGGGCTCGTTATTGGCCCCACTTCTTCCCGATCCTCCTTAATTGGCTTTTTGCCTCATCCTTCTCTATTTTCTTTCTACATCTTTTAGCCTGACCCGACTTCTTACTTTTTTGTTTGTTTTCGGTTTGGCTTTTTGGCCCTTTCGGATGCACAGCTCTTTCTGTCTGGCCTTTCTTCTGATTTCCCTCTTTGACTTCTTTTGACTCCCCCTCCTTCTCCTCTTCTATGTCATTCTCTGCTGGCGTTTCTTAGCACACAGAAACAACAAACCGCGGGCTAAATATCTGACATGCACGCAAACACCCTTCCTTGATTCATATTTAACATATGCGAATCACAATCTACACTCTAAATGAGGTGGCAGTGTGCTTTCAAATTAACAAATCCTTCTTGCCTCGATCCCTTTTGATTCTAAAACTCGATCACACGACGAATTCCGATACCCTTGATTTATTTGCTCAGCTAGTCCTCTTAAGTGGGTGACTTAGTCTCCTCCTACTTCATTATTCACCTTTCAAATCTACTCTTTGGAGAGGTCTTTGGAGGACTGGTTTACGATCCCGTCCACCGGACTATTAACGGGTTCGTTTCGACAACTCTCAACAATCGATCTTCTCTTCGCTTAAAGTACTTCCTCGCCTCGTATCTCCTCATCTATCACCAAAATTAAGTCGGCCCATCCACGATACTTCGTAATCCTACTAATTTATTAGTGACACCCCAACCCCCCACAACCCTCTTCTGGAACCAAAACATGTGGTATTTTTTAACAAATAAACCCAATTATTATTTGTGACAAATGTGATAAATTGACATACGGTTATGTCTCTCATCTAGATCGACCTCAACCATTACTTATTTCACATTATTAATTATTTATTCAATTCACTTTTCATTCATCTATGATGAAGACAATACCACGGCACGCACAGCTGCAGCTGCTCCTAATAAAAACGCACACTAGCTCCTCGACCCTTATCAACACCACAATAACACATCTATGATGAAGCCACTCCGGATCCCAACAGTGCCTCTATTCTTAAACTGACTATTTGAATTTGAACTCTCTTGCAGGCCCCACTAAGTCAACGCAATTTACGTTAGCAAAGCACATGATCTTCAAATCCCAACATAACACCCTGAGCAATTCCAAACGTAAAAATATAAGTCCAGCTCCCAGCCATTAGCTTCACCTAAACCAGTAGTCACCCCCCAGCATCCATCAATCAAAGACAAAGTCAGAGCATTTTCTCTCTCAACTGAAATAACTTCTTCTAACTACCAGAAACTCCACAAAGCAGCCAGGCCACTAGCGCAATATACAACTGATTCATATACACTTATCGAAATCTTTAACCGAACCATTCCGAGTAGTAGTGCAGAAGGCTGCAGATTCATCAGACCACAAATTGCTAACATTCTCCAATGCCCAAGCCTACCCGTGCATTGTAGACCTTTCTTTGCTCCTGGAGTACTCACACGATGCTCTTCCCCGGAACCTACATTCTCCACTCAGAGAGAGACATATCGTTGGCATGCACTTCTGCTCACTACTTCCTGATTGGCCTACTCCTTCTCTCTTCCTTCGCTCCCTTGCTACCACACACGACTCCGCTCCGACCCTCCTTCCACTTGAACTTCCATCTCCACCACTGAAATATCTCAGCTCTTACATCGGCCCATTTCTCCAACTGAATTACACACTTCCCCACGATACACTCTAACCATCATAATCGTCCTCAACTCCAGACCCTTCTGGCACATATGCCAAACGAATAAGGTGGGCCGACATGACTTCCCCAATCAAATCTTGGTCGTCATTGTGATCAATAAGTGTGGTGCGTCCCAGTATCAGTCATAGTTCTTTTGAACTTTCAGAAAAAGTGATCATAGAACACTACACTCAAGCCATCGGATCCTCGAATTAAAGAATCGCGACTCGACAGTACAATCGATATTGATTACCTCTTCATTTTTCTAAGATCTCAAACCCCAGTTCTGGAACCCTTGTTCGCAAACCATAACACAGGAATACCTTGTGATTTCCATGAATCCCCCTGTGCCGACCACACCTAAAGCATACATTTAAATCTTAAAGATTAATGATACTATCCCTACCCCGAGCCAGAGAGAGAGAGAGAGAGAGAGCAGACCTGCAGGGGGCACTTCTTGCTCTTCCTCGGTGCACGACCACAACTCGCAATGAAAGCATAGACCCACTTTGAGCCCATCCTATGGACTCTAACGTTGGACAAGCCCAAACCTTCGTTAATTATCTCCATGTCAATCATTCTCTAGAGGCCTCCTACTCTCTCGTAACATCCTCATCACCTCTCACTAGATTTCTGCTCTGACGCTCCACGCGATCAGCAAATCTTTCTAACCTGCCAATGACAAATCGCACTCTGCCACCATATCGTCTTCTAATTCACGGGTTTAATGGAACGTGACTCTTGAACGGTCTTTCCTCAAACAATATACCACATATCGGGCATCTATACCACTCTTTCTTAATTTGTTACTCCGCCTCTCAACTGACCAGCAGTTTCAGCACCAACATTACATCAAAGCCTTTCTGCGATCAAAATGCACTCATTGCTGCACATTCCTGGGACTCACGAATCTGGATACCCACCACCAATTTTAAAATCTGCCAACGAAGGATCAGCTTGCTAAACCATCCTAGCGCAACCATCACCATCCCGATAAATACAGATTCTCCAGCTTAGTGCTACCCCCAAGGACCTCCTGCGTAAAAGAGCCAATCGACCCTCCACTGCTTTTCTGCTCTCCTGGCCTCAAAAGAGACTGCGACTAGACTTCAACTGCAAATGCCGATGATTTGACCTCTTTCACTGGTCCCAGACCCCCACCCACCGCAGCTTAATTGACTCTGATGGAACATTCCTATTCCTCGACATCGCGAGCCACCCTCGTTAATCCCCCCCCCGCACTCCAATAGTTCTTCATTCCGTGTTGGCAGTTCTCAACAATTCTGAGCAACCCTGAGATTGCCCTCAGCCTGTTCTCAAACCGCCTTTAGCCACACAAACTGCTTCTCGGGAGCTCTCACAATCTTTGGCAAATCTTTAAGATTGAACAAAACAAGTCTCTAAAAGGATGTCAATGGACTTCCGCTGACCCTCCAACTAGCCCTCTGCACAATTCCTCTTAAATACTAAACCTCTCCCGACTTGGGGACTTCTGAGCACAGTCGGCCCGAGTCTCTACAGCCGACAATGGGAATGACTACGATAGCGATTCTTCAGTTCGACTCTGAGACAGCCCTGTTAACCCAGACAAAAGCTACCTATTAAATTTCCCCTCTCTCACTTACTCATGACCCCGAACTTAAAAGAATATACCTATAACTTTGTACATACTTCGTCCTCTTCCAAATTTCTTTACTGCCAAGCTACTACTAATCATGTCACAGACCCTAAGGCTCTCAAAGCCGACAACATCACAGGGTCCTAAATTCGAAACGCGGAATCCCCTGCCAACCCCATACACATCCGTAATCCTTCCTCAGGAAAAATCTTTCTAAGCTCTCAACTCTATTGCACATATTGAGCCCCTGCAAACGTTCTTAGCATTAATGCCATCTCTGAAAACTGCATCAACTTCCAACGCTATAGCTACTGCATATCTGAACTTCTCCCCCCCAATCCTAAGCATGCCCTACGTTTCAAGGCAAGGAACCACGCTCAAAAGTGCTCTTTCTCCAATGAGCTTGCTTGTATTTGCTTAAAAATGGCGTGTCGAGGAACTTCATATCATAATGACGTCTTTCTATAACCACCACACCCACAAACTCTGTCCTCTAATCGGTTCTCGTCCTTTCCTTGGACAATT